CCAGCGGTGGAGACAAGGAGATCTCTCAGACAATGGCGTTTCCGCCGACGATGAAGATCAACCGTCGACACATGTATCGAACAAAATCATGGGGAGATTTAATAGATCGATGAGAGTCTTTCTCATCACCATGATAAATGAAATATTTGATGTAAGATACAGGAGAAATTGAAGATGTGAAGAAATAAATTCGATTGATCGACTCTTTTCAATTCAATCACTATGAAAATTTATGTCACCTAATATATAGATATACACGAAAAAAGCAACTTTGTTAAAGAGTAATTTTTCTATTTAAAAATTTGATCAGATACAGATCTAAAAATAATTTTGTTCAGCCATCAAAATTATTACGTAGGACATTTAAGCATGATGATAATATTGTAAAAAAATTTTTTATATTATAACAATTAATTTGGATATTCTAATTGACAAAATTATTTTTCAAATCTATATCTAACCAAATTTTTAGATACTTCAGCGAAACCATTCTTTCTGTGTATTATTGATGTTTATTAACTGATATTTAAATTCCTCATTGTATCGTTCGAAACCATGATCTTAGTCGTTCACCGTCTAGTTCATTTCCTTTTCCTGTCACCACGCTCCATAGAGAGCGTCTGAGCAACAGCGATGAAAGAAAGGGAATAAAGACGCTGGCACGCGAATGCACAGCCTTGACCAAGCAGAGGCAGCTTGATTCATCTTGTTCTTCTAACTCCGGAAAATGGTATTTAGCAGGACAGAAAGTGCTTCCTTTATGACTTCCGTCTTAACCAAGTTTCTTATTAGCTTCATAAAAATCATGAATTTCTGATGTTGCAAACGAAAACGGAAGTCATCAACATTTCCGACATCTCGGATGAGCAATTATCTCTACAATCACTGGGATATTCTATGTATTTCTTGACCATTTTTGGACCGTACTAATGTTCGAGTAATAATATCGTGTCAAAAAAAATTGTCTCTTTATCATAAAAATATTTATTTGTTACAATTTTATTTTTAATATAAAGATTTAATTTGCATGTTATTTGTTAAGTTTTCTTAGTTAAATATTTCGATATGCCTTTGCGCTTTCTTTGAATTAAAAGAACTTGTCTAAAGAATCAAGTTTGAGTTTAAGAATTTTGTATGAATTATGAATTATTGTATATTTTTGATCGTCTATTGATCCACGTGATTTTCCAGGACAAAAAGAAACTGCAGACAGTGGAGTACCCGGGATTAATTGCGACCGGGTCAGACTGCGGAGCATTACGAGACGAGTCCGTCTTCGCAGGTGGCAAGTAGGCATGCAAAACCGAAAAAGAAGGGACCCACGCACACGAGCACGTGCTCGCATTTTGCGAGAGGCTCCCTTTTCAGAAACGGCGCGACGGCGGCGGCGGTGACGGCGACGATCAGCTGGCGGTATTTCTCCCTTTTCTCTCCGATCTTCGCAAGACCGAAGGAGAAGCGAGTCAGAAAAAAAAACGCCGAAAAGAACGAAAATGAGCGTTGCCACCCCTTCTCCGTTGCGCGCACCCGCATCCTGTGGCAGCTTTCGTAAAAACCGTCGGCCCTGTCGGTTTCCATTCAAAAGCGCGAGTCACGGGGGCTCATTTACGAATTTCACGACGAAACTCTACACTGGCTGAAGGAAGAACTAGGCGTCTGCGATCTCGATCGAAGCGTCAGGAAGCGAGTTTAGAGATGGACAGATAAACAGACACGAATGAAAGGAGAGGGTGCGATCCTGTCTCGAAAGAAGATCTCGCGTATGGATTATGTCAAAGTATTGTAATCTATCTCCGAAACACACACAAGATATAAAGATATTACGTTAAAAAATATAATAGTATATATAAATTCAAAATAATTGACTTATTATTGAGATTTGTTGTTAAATAAACGAATATAAACTGCGAGTATAATTTAATATAAAAGAAGTGAGATAATAAAAATTATGTATTCGTAAGTGGCAAAAGAATTCCGATGCGTCATCAAATATTACATGTAATCGCGTTTTAACTATTTCAGTTGAAATACTACTGAATAATATCAAATGACCATTTGGACCAACTTCCCTTCGTAGGGGAGAGCCACTCCAGTAACATCGAAGCAAAGGGCAAGTAGCTGAATTCGTACCGATGGCGGTGTAAGAATAGCAACGCGATCGAGGGGGGATGAAACAGGCGGCTGATCGCTGTCTCCGGAAGGAACTGTCTCCCTTTATCCTCGAGGACATTCCTCCGAACACAAGCTAACGTGTCTTACGGCGCTCTCCCCTAAAGGAAGGCGTTTCTACGGACGTCTCCACCCAGCGTTAACCTCTTGCACCCAGAACTAAATTAAGAGTCGTTCCGGTTGACGTTTTTTGCCACTGGCACTACTCGAACCTTCTTTTTTTTTTTTCGAAACCCTGATCCATCGAAAAGTATCAACCCGTTATATTTCTTCGCCATGTCTAAATATCTCATTATCGGACCTTATATTTCCGAGATATCTATCTGTCATAATTTCTGCTATTCATCATACAAGTTATCTTCGATTCTTTAATTCTAACCTTTAGTTAACTAATTCTTGCTCTTCTTCGACGATGAGTATGTTAAAATTAAAATTGTGGCACTAAGGTGATTATTCCAATGAAAGATTATGTACTAATTCCAGATCAAATTTATCAAAAGTTAACAGTTACAAAAATATATATTAATAAAATTATAGATTATTATTTTATATTCTTTTAATAATTCTTTTAGATAATTATTATATCATAAAATTGTTTTTTTTAACATTAATATTTAAGAGAAGAAAAGAATAGGATAATCCAGACAAAGTTCAAAATCATATAAAAGACTTTTAAGACGTCTTATATCCTGATTTTGACTGTATTGTTTGGGAACTTTCTAACTTCTTTGAAATTATATAAAATTACCTTTAAATAATATATAATAATAATAATAATAATATATATATATATTATATTTATTTAGAATTACCTTTTTATTACCATTATTATCATATTAAATAGAACAATATAAGTTTGACCATTATTAATAAACATACACATAAAAGTAATTTGATATTAAACAAAATAAAAATAAAAAATATGTGCCAAATGTAATTGGAACCTATGTATAAATATTTTTATATATTTTTCTGCAATTTATAATCAAATTATTAAAAGTGTAATTATTTTTCCTTAAAATTATAATATTTTTACATTAGTCGTATCCTTTTCAATATTTTATTAATAAATTTGCATAAATAAATAAAAGTCATTTTAACCTTAAACGATCCATAATTGGAATCATCACCTTATGATACAGTTAATTGATTTTTATATTTTTCTGTTCTTATTTTTGCATTTATATTCAATTATCTGATTATATTGTATTTTATCATTTATCAACATTTATCATTTATCATTTATGATTAGATGTATCTCCTTGAATGGATAAAAAGAACAATTTTGCTGAAGTATCTAAAAATTTGATCAGATATAGATCTGAAAATAATTTTGTTAGGGTATCAAAATTATTATATAGGAGCATGATGATATTATTATAAAAATTTTTAATATTCTAGCAACCGATTTAAACGTTTTATATAAATATTTTAGTGATCCGATAATAAAATTATTTTCAGATCTATATCTGTATCTGGCCAAATTTTTAGATACTTTAGCAAAAATGCTTTCCTTGTGTGTAATTCTTTCTAAATCATCATGAAACTTGACTCATTTGTCGCCTATCCACCTACCATAGTGCATTGTTTCTCTTTTGCTCGTGTAATGCATCTAAAAACAGTAACAATGCGGTGGAATATAATCGAGGTGCGCGAGGCCTATTCTTGCATAATGATTCACGGACCGTGAATAGAGAATAGTCATTAAGCTGCGCTACTTGGTGTCATTGCACCCTAGATCCTAGAAGATGCATAGGAGAGCCGAAGGAAAGCGCAGACGAGAAAGTTGGAAGTACACGTAAACGGCTGAAAATTTGACGTCTTGGCGCCCGGCCAAGATCTTTGCGGCTTATCTTCGACCTCGTCTTCATCCCTCATCCTCCGGTGGGCGCTCTTCCGCGGAAGACGGATTTTTATTCCACTTTCCCGCCGACGCGACGCGACGCGACGCTTGTGCATCGTTTCGCGGAAGTTTCGCGTCCTCAACAGCGTACTGTTATTCTCGGAATCCGGACAATTTTATAGGTTCGTTCGATCACAAATCCTAGGCATGAATGTTTAGTTCCGAAGATTCTTTCAATTTTGATTATTATTTCACGATGTCTGCGTTCCCGTAAATGTTTATGATCATGCACGGCGCAGAATTTTCCAGCAGCCACCTGGTACTAACATTAAATCTTTATTAATCTCGCTGCAATTCTATTTAATGAAATTTCATTAATTCTATTAAATCATAAATAAAATTTCAAAAATCTATATTATTACAAAAAAACTAATATTTTAAATTAGTAAGCAGATCGATATTTAATTATAATAACTTCAACAAAATTTCGAAATGGCCACAAATTTTATCGAGATTATAATATTTTACAAAAATTGTATTATTCCAAAGAATCTTTACTTGACTTTACAATGACGTATGTAGTAACAAAGAATTGGAATTATTGCAAATAACATAATAGTTTTTATTTATCCATTTATCGCTATAAATATTATTGTAATTAAAAGACATTAATATTATAAAGTATAATATTATGATAAAAAGTTCTTTCAAAGTTGAAGAGAGTTTACTCGAGCTCGTCCGTTGTCATCGAGAGGCAGAATTGGCGAACGTCTGAGTTCGAGAAAAATTCGCCAAGGGACGAGAGTCTCGTTGCAAGATTCTAGATTCCGATCTCCTCGACTTACCTTGTCGCGCCTCGCGGATGGCCGTGGAATAGAAGAGAGGTGGTTTACCCGAAGACCACGACAGCTGCATCGAGCCAGCGGGGCCTGAAAAT